TTTTCATAGTGTAAAAGACTGATGAATTCTGTAATTCGAAGTCTTGGTTTTCTCTCATTCTTGGGGCGACGTAAGTCATGTACACGTTATTTTGTTATTGTTTAGGCTACATCTTAATTTTTGAAAGGAGATTTTATTGATTTTGAAACCACTGAACCAATTTCAACCAATTTTGGCATAAAGCATCTATGGATGAAGGGGAACAAAAATTGTGAATTTCATGGCCCCTGACCCCCTGGGGCCTGAGGGGTGGGGTTAAAACCACCAAAATTAATGCAATCTTTAAAACCTTCTGCTTTACTCTTGGACATCAAACAGTCAAACTGTTGGCATGATTGTAATAAGCATTGAACCTTCTCTCAAAATTGTGAAATTCATGGCCCCTGGGTTAGGGCTTCTGGCCGTAGGGTGGGGCTCTAATGATCATATAGTGAAAATGCATTAATTCTTTAAAAAATCTTCTCTGCTCCTGGGTATTAAGCTGGTGAAATAAGTACATAGTTATGATGAAAAATGGTGCCTCTTCTAAAATTGGGAATTTCATGGCCCCTGGGTCAGGGGTTCTAGTGTTAGGGCTGGGCTCTAATGATTATACAGTAAAAATGCATTAATTCTTAGAAAATCTTCTCCTCTGCTATTGGGTATTAAGCATATGAACTAAATACATAGTAGCGATGAGCAATGGTGCCTCTTCTAAATTTGTGAATTTTATGACCCCTGGGTCAGGGGTTCGGGGGGGGGGGGAGGCTCATTTATTATATACTGAAAATAAGTTTATGCTTTGAAAATTATATTCTCTGCCCCTTGGTATTAAGCAAACAAACTAAGTACATAGTTATGATGAGGAAGAGTGCCTCTTTCAATATTGTGAATTTCATTGCCCCTGGGTCAGGGGTTCTTATGTATGGGTGGGGCTCCATTCATTAGTCAGCAAAAATGCATTAATGCTTTGAAAATCTTCTCATCTGCCCATGAGTACCTAGCAAACAAACTAAATGCAATAATATCAATGTAAATGTATTAAATATTATTTTAAGTATGTGTGCCTTTTCTTATTTAGTGTATCTATGAGGCAAACAGAGTACACAATTGAGATAAGTTAAGCAAATGAGAGTTACTCCCATTTGCTAGATGTTGTTAATCAACAAATCCTTGTGTATAATTTAATTAACTGGATTATTTGATTGGATGAGAATGCAAGAAAGAAAGTTAAATATATAGAAACAAAATGAAAATGAATGTTAGGTTTAAATGAGCAAAGCATGCTCAAAGTCAGATTCTTGTCTGGAAAGCAATATGAAAGATTGACATAAAGATTATTTATGTATTTAGCAAAAGTTGTAAATGTATACAGATGAGTATGATTACACTGTTGTGATCTGTTTGACATTAGATTAGTTGATGTCATTGGTGAAGTCATGGTTGACAACTGGATTAAGTTGTTTATACTTTATCAAAGTGAACAAAGAATCACAAAGAGCCAGGTGACTTATTGTAATAAGTGACAAGTGGCAAATAGACATGTTGTATACCCAAGTCTGTGTGTACTGAATTGTAGCACTAGACAAGTGACAAAAACATATCTGTATATATTGAATATCTTACACAGTAGGCAAGTGTCCAATGTATTTGTATAGTTTACATTCATTATCATCCCTGTAAGACTTGGGAAAACCAAGTATGATCCCTAGGAGATCACTCAAGTCTAGCATGTTACAATAAGCAAAGGGTATTTATACCAGATTTTTTGAAATTCTTGGGCAACATTCCTTCATCTATCAGTTAATTTTGTTTTATACTTCTATGGTCCTTTTACAGTGTTGTATTATACTCATGTGACCGTTAAGGCCCTTGGGCCTCTTGTAATTTTTATACAAGAGGTGATTGACCTTCTTGTTTTCTCTTACTGAGCTATCCCGAGATTTTACCTCTTTAATTGTGTTATGATATTGGTCGATCTCATAATCATGTCGGTTTTGTGTAACATTTTTAATCACATGAGTGAATTCCTCAACCGCGTTGTTTAACATTTTGCTTGTTTTATTGAACTTGTGTCTCATTACAGGTGGTCTTTAAATCTTCCGTTCAGGTGTTGGCCAGGGTCAAGATAAAAGTATTGAGAGTAGGTCAGATCATTTTATTTTATTTTATTTTATTTTATTTTATTTTATTTTATTTTATTTATTTATTTTTTTTTTTTTTCATATTTGAGTTTCCTTGCTGATGGGAGATTATTAGCTTTTGTCACGCTACTGGAAAATGACTTTCCCGCTATAATAAATTTATCAAAAAAAAAACCGATAATATTCATTCAGATTGCAGCTTTCTTAATCGCTATCCTCATGGTAATCCATGGCGAAATGACTATAGTAAACTATATTTTACTTTAGTTAGCAATTGTTTAGTATAGTGTCGAATTTTTCAAACAGTAAATCAAATTTTTTACTTCAGTAATTTAATGAATTATTACTATGAATTTCAAATAGCTATATTTCATTTTCGGCAAGTCTTTCATTTAGTTTCTTGAAGTGAAATAGAAGAAAATATTACTCGTATATTCACATTTTTTATATTTAAACTTTCATCGTGTGCATTCAAAATGATATTAAGGCCCTTAGTCTCAAAATAAGTTATGATGTATAGCTTTATGGTAACGCAAATAATCAAAGTATTTACTACAGTTAACTATAGACAATTATATTTAAATATAATATATTATAGTTAACTATAGTAAACTATGGATAATTATTGTAAAGATTTTATAGGTAAGATTTAAATCATGTACAATACCTTCATCTGGTGCAGAAAACTCAGAAATTTCTGGTAAACCTAAGAAAATGCAAGTAAAGATAACAATTGAATATGACGATGTTTAGCAAGAAAGTAATAAAAATGATGATACCCCGCCTCCCATATGTTTATAATGGCAAAGCCCATGTTTTGCTACGGGAGACCTGAAATAGGTGTCCTATCAAAAAGTAAAATTGGAGGTGCACAATGGCACTATATAACAAAGATTCTGTGTAAATCTCAATAAATTTTATTCAGTGGTATAAGAGGAGTTGCGGATGAGAGAAGTGTATCCCAAAGCGTAACGGGCGGACCGACATACAGACGGACGGACGGACACCCATCACTATACACTCCCCCTGCTTTTGAAGGGGGTGGGTGGTGGTATTATAATAGCTTTTAATATGTGCATACTTACAAAGACTAAAAACAGCAGCGGATTCTTGAGGAATTAAAGATGCGACCTTCTTTGCAGTGGAAATTTTATCCTTAGTCGGACAAGTTGCATTTGTGTCATCACTTATTTTGGAAACAACACAATTTGCTACTCGTTGAAAATTACTTTAAAAAAGTTAAAAATAAACGCTTAATATTTGACGCTATCTGCAGCAAAAACAATCAATAAAGCTTTCCTTCTTTTGTTTAGAAACAGACTTTGAATCCCCTTGGTTTTGACCAGAGACATATAACAGAGGGACCGCTGACTCATTCGGGGCGTCTCTAGACTTTTCACTTTAAGCTGGGTACTTTAATTCCGAATGGAAAATGATGTTCCGATTTTCGCAGCGCCCTCACCGGGAGGCATAGAAACTATAAACAGTATGGCGTTTCATCATAGCATGGGTAGTAAACATCGCTACAACTCCAATTTTAAGCAAAATTTACTCGTGGCATTAATCGTCGGGGGATGAGTTACTTTCGTTTTCATGACGACAAAGAATTGAGAACAAATTTATCTACAGTAAATAGATGGAATCGATCTTCTAACCCCGACTCGAGTTGCATTTGTTCATGATTGATGGCTTGTCTTCTTTACAACCTCCACACTAAGAAATACACTGTAACATGTATTTTATTGTGTAGGATAAGAAGACCTCTTTTGACGAGGCCATTTTTTTGCCGTGTTGGTTTTGCACTGGCATGCATTATATTATTTAGTGCACGGTTACCTACATGTATACGTATAGGTGCTAGATTTCATTCAGCTAGGTTGGTGTATTTCCCGTATTTTTTTTATATATCGTTATATAAATATATCTGTATACATTCAATAAAATTAAACTAAAAAATCGCTAAAATTAGCTTTTAAAAAAAAAATCATATTGCTGTATATAAAATATATTATTTTATATTTGATTTTTTATTATATTTATAACATATCTAAAAACACAAAATACACCATCCTGAAACCAAGCATAGATTGTGACTTGTAATCTAATCAAGCAACTCATACATTTTTTCATTTACTGTATTTTTAAAACATTGTTACAAGTGCCATTTTGCTTTAAAGAAGTTAGATGGAAAAAAAAATTAACTAAAGTGATGCTTATCAAGAAAACCCTATCAAAGTGCACTCGGTCTATGCAACTTAAGTAATGATAATGGTTTTAGGAGCCCTCTATTCATTGCACACTTTAGACGTATTATGTGGTACTTATATGCAGGAAGACTGACCTTCTGTTAGATCTACATTCTAATTAAAAATGAAATAATTTGAAATTTACAGTATATTCATTCATATTAATCAATTCAAGCATTCTTAAAATTTATTAAGCCAAAATAAAATTTAATGAATACTTTATTTACACGTATATCAGCCCTGCAAGCTGACACAGTTAAAGAATGTTTTGCCCATACAAAAACCCTTTATTTACTACAAAGTATATTTATATGTAACAAAGCTTTAAACAGTTTAAATCTGATGAAATGTAAAAAAAAAAAAAAAAAAAAAAAAAAAAAAAAAAAAATCAGAGAGAGGATGATAAAGACTCGATCTTTGTGAATATGTAGAGGTACTTGATTACTTTGTCTTTTATTCAAATCTAAATGACAAACATGTACTCTTGTATGTACATAACATTGTATACTATATATATATATATATATATATATATATATATATATATATATATATATATATATATATATATATATATATATATATATATACTTGAAAAAGTAGGTGTTCAAAAAAGACAAAAATACCGGTATGTATTGGTTGACTTCAAGTTAGTTTTATTGTCACACATTTAGGCCTTGCATTAAATTCCAGTTCATATGCATCACATTGAAATTTGAAATGTACATCACATATATCTTTTCTTTACTCAGAATTTACAGTCCAAGGAGTGGAAAAATATGTGGAAAAATATTCAATCAGTAAATTCTTGGAAGTCATGAAAAAAACCTTTATAAATGTCCTGGAGTGAGAGATAGCTCAGATTTTACCATTAAAAGTTAAGGATATCATTAATTCAGTTGCAGTATTGTTGAAAAACAGCGCAACAGTGGTGCGATACAAGCCAATGTTTGTTTCAATGGCGTTTAGAGTTTGACCAAGTTTGATGCAGCAGCATGGTACAATTTTAAGCTTCGCAGCTTACTAAACTACTATTCTTCGCCTTTTTCATCCTAAGATCTCACTTAAAACACCCTTATAAAGCAGGTCAAGGTCCAAGGTCTTCTGGGAAGACAACAGGAAACTTCAGAATCTTGTTGAGTCAATCAGTAGAGGTACCATAATATCTGAAAATATGAAAATACAAAATCAATAAATAAAAGAATTAATAGCTCCATGAGATATACTTGTAAAACCTGGGTTAAGGCAATTGTCCATTATAAATATGTATATTTAAAAAAAAACAACACACACACACTACAAAAGCAGTTTAAAAAAAAAAACATTCTCCCCCTAAAACAAGGGCACAGCGAGGCGGAGCATCCCCTCACAAAGGGCATAATTATCTTTAAATCAAGGCAGCATTCGACATCGATCCTGATGCAAATTAATTTAGATGTTAACAGTTACATGTGGCAGGTTGATACATTTTTTTTAAATCATTGTGACATAATAGAAAGAAAATTGCCACTCACTTGATAGATTTATGGTGGTGGGAATAAAGTCCCACATTAAAATAAGCATTCTGCATTTTTTACCGCTGGCAAGCTGTATCTGTTGCTGAGGAAAGTGATTTCATACCTGGAGATTACATGAAGAAACAATTTTCATTAAAGTGAATAATTAGTACATGTTTACATGATGTAAAAAATTAACATGCTGATTATTCACTCTTGGATATACAAAAATTCAATCACATGACAGATTACATAAAACCATTCAACATTTTATATGATAAAATAATACATCCCATGACTATCATCAGGTCTTATGTTGAGAAACTCTCAGGCCCCACAGGTGGGAAGGAATTTCAGTTTCTGGAACACAACCCATTTTAGAAATTTTGGTTGAGCCAAAAAAAAGTTTGACTTTAATTTAATATTTTTCTTAGGGGACACATTAAAGTAACTGTACAGTAGTTTCTAATGTTTAGGCTTTGTATACACTCTGACATGTAAGATGTAGTATCGGGGGGGGGGGGTCCCTTTTCCAAACATACCCTTTTACACAATCTTTTACTGTTGAAAATATCCACTGAAAGCTGCCCCCCCCCCCCCCTTCTCCATGAAATAGGATTTTCGAGTTCTGACAATTTTACTTTTTTTTCTTTTTTTTTTGCTTGTCCAAGATTTTCAGATATAACCACCCCCCCCCCTTTTAAAAAATGATACTTAACTACGTGCCTGTATACTGGCAAAATTATTTTCCCCTTGCTCACCGGTTCTTACGGGCCTGAGTCTACAATTATCCTGATGATATAAGGGAACAACCTATACAAGACAAAATTTTAACTCAAATTACATGTATTGTATCGATGTGACCACGACTTGCGTGTCAACATCTGATGATCTAAGTTCTACTTCTTTTTTTTAAATTCTCGTTATAGCTGGAAAATCACATCTAAGATATCGCCTTATGTAAATAGTAATTGACGCACAGGCTATATATAATAAAATATAGAATATAATCGCAATATTTACCCCAAAGGCTGTGAAGACAACACAGCAGCTGTTATGACAGGAAGTCTTTCTATGCCTCCCGGTGGGGGCGCTGCGAAAACAGGAAGATAATTTGGCGCGAAAATGAGTCAGCGGTCCCTCTGTTATATGTCTCTGTTTTCACCAATAACCAAAAACAAAGTTAACTGCATGTTTTATGCATTTCTTTGCAGTTTTTGAATCATTAGAAATTTTAACTTTGTTGCATAACAAATATTTTTTATGTTTTCTTGATTTTCGCTGATTGTTCCTGTACATAGAGACAAAGGAGATAGCTTAAAATACTAATAAAACATAATTCACCGACAAAGTGTTTCTGACGTTGACTTCTCAAACGGGAACTGTTGATTACAAGAGATTCCATGCTTTACCAGTCCTTCGATAGACGTCAGTCGTGTATCCGTACAAGGAGGTTTTATACCTGTAATGTTGGGGAGTTTCTATACAGTTCTAAACAAATGATATATGAACATTACAAACATGGGGATCTAAAAATAGATTTGGGATCCGTTGTCACGAAGGAGTGAGTATTCCTTGTCGACCAATCACATCGGAGAAAATAATTGACTACGTTTTGTAAGAAATAGCTCGAGTCAATCAACTTTTGGCGGTGCGCAGTATTGTATCCTCAAACAACGTCAAAAATTTATATCTAGATGCAGAAAAAATCAAACTGTTTTATTTTTTCTTGTATGTTACACCGCAACGGTAGCTCAGTCGGAAGAGCGCTTGCTCTGTAATAAGAAGGTTATGGGTTCGACCCACGGCCGCGAAAGAAAATTGGTGGCAAATGTTCCTTCGCCAAGAGCTAGGCACTTTAAAGTGAAAGTTGCGTGTCCTTTGGATGAGATATTAAAAAGCCGAGGCTCTGTGTAACGACAGGCGTTGGGACAATAAAGAACCCTCACTGCTCAATGATCCTGAGTCTGGATTTGAAGCCCTTCATCACTACATGGTGACGTTTCTATATGCGTGAAAAATTCTCGAATAGGACCTTTAAAAACATACATTACAATCAATCAATCACTCTTGAATATAACAAAATGTATTTACCTTCTATTTCAGTAGGACGAAAAAAAGGTTTAGTCCATATTTATCCATTGTGTAATTTGGTTATCTGTGTGTATGCTTTTACAAGTTAAAACCCTTGAGATAAATTTAGTCTACTGTTGTACTAAACACAATGTTAACAATAATTGAAACAAGAATACAATGTACTCAGATTGAATAGAACATACAAAATAAAACTGTTGAGAAGAGACACCTGCATATTTGTGCAACCAGAAACGAAATTCTGTTGTTAAAGTATTTTTTATACAGTGTAGTTAACTATTAAGTCTATTTCTTTGTCTTTCTTTCTATAAGTTGTACATGTAAGGGTGTTTGATATCTAAAAAAATAGTTTGATTGCATTTTCTTTGTGTAGACAGTTGAGGAAAGAAAGAACAAAGAAGATTAATCTCACTTTCCAATCTCAGATTTTATCAAATGTTTATTAAATCAGACATACGGTATATGGATTTGGATTTTGATCGTTTTTAAATTAAAAAAAACCCATAGAAACTATCATAGCTTGTGGTTGGTCTTCATTCGGTGGTATTTTAACTGACATGTTCTTCTTCCTTTACAGTGCAGGGCCTTGTGGGCTTCATCGCACTTGTTCTATACCAATTAAAGGACCTTTGTTTTATGCTAAATGATAACTGATTATTCTGTATTTTATTACATTTACCTGATCAAAACATAGGGATCACCGTGGGTGTGAACGGTCGACAGAGTATGTTTACTCATCCTAGGCACCTGATTCCATTTTTGAAATTTCCATGGATACATATTTATGCCCTTTTTAGAGATTTATTTTGTTTGTAGATATTTTAGATGGATCATTCTTTGCTAATTTAACTTTCTTTTTATGTATTTAAGTCTATATCATTTAATTTTCTATGAAAGGGTTTTGCAAAAAAAGAAAAAAATCTTAGGCTGCAGATGTGAAGATAAGAGTAATCCATTTAATATCGAGAATAGATCATAAATAGACCTTAAATAGTGCTTTTGAAAATTTTACTTCACATTGAATTATGGTTTTGGTGCTTATTATTTATCTTATTAGTTTATTTATCTGAATTGTGTTTTTCAATGAAGAATAGAAAACATAACTTACATTTAGAGATTGAGCTTCCAATCAACAATTCTATGGTAGTCTGTTCTTGAAGAGCAATGGACTTCAGCTCAATTTCAGAACACGAAAGACCCGAAAAAATTTCAATACGGTTCTTCAAACATTCAACTATATTCCAAACCCGACTATATGAAATAAAAATAAATTGTGTAAATTATTCATGGCACTTGGAACAGAAATGTTACAATATACAATATTCAAAATATAAACTAGTGTTGAAATTCGAACACATGGCATTATTTTACCTGAAAAGAAGTTCCACTTATTAACACTTAGTATATAATACATTATCCATAAAGTATTTTGTATTAAGGAAGAACAAAGTAATCAAAATTTAGTGGGAAATTAGTTTTAAAAAATGCAATTATTGTGAATAATCGTTCGTGTAGATAAGAAAAACGAGCTTACCTGCAGAATTGACTACTAACTGGATTAGCAGAGAGACACTGAGATTTTATTTTTTGGGTATAAAGCGATTCGTTTAGACATGGGGAAACTAAAACGAAGGGAAAATTCCGTGATGAGCAATACTTGTAGTAAACTAAATCTTTAAAACTAAAGAATTTTCATTTTCTGTTACAATGTATATTGGAACATATATGTAGTAAGAAATCAACATTAAGATCATATAATGGTGTAATTTTTACTTACTACAAACGTTCACACCACACAGTTCCCAACGAACACTTGAATTACTCGTAAAACACCATGGCTCCTCTCTATCAAAGTTTCGACAGTAGTTTTCTTGTGCAAGGCTAAATACGTAATAATTTTGTGCATGTGGGCTCTGTGCGTCCCATCTTTGACAGGCTAAACCTGATTTTGTTATATTTTTGGTTCCTCTGTACAAAAACCCTTGGAATCGACAATCCCTCGAGGTAGACGTTCCTTAAAAGTATTTTACAATTTTTATTTGTTGCAGTGTATATTACATATGTAATTCATCTTTAAGAAATAAATATCTTAAATGAATTTGGTGTTGTTTATAAATTTTGCTTCTCAGACATAATTCATGTTTCTGTCTTGAGAATTTCTTAGAAATCAAAATTGAAAAATGTCATGTTATATCAAATTAATTTGAAAAAAAATTAATAATAACTGCTATCACTGTTTTCCTATTAAAAAAAAAGGGAACATGTGGTAACATCGGTCCTTGAAACTTGATGTTCAAGAAAAACAGAATTTGGAAACTCAAAATATACTTGTCCTGAAAAAAAAAACTAGGATTTCTTGTACTTAAGTTAATTAACTCATTGGGGATTATATTACAATCATATTGGAGAACACAACATCATTGTACAGTGGAGAACACAATATCATTGTACAGTGAAGGATGACAAATGTGCTTATTTATCAATTTTTATAACACAGAAACAGGGCTAATACATATTATAATTTTATAAATTTATTAACTTCTTTCATTGCAAAAATATTTTTCACAACGACAAAATGGCAATTTAAGCTTCCAGTGCAGTATTTACAACAGATTCATTTGAGAATATAGAAAGCAATGAACACCGTTGCTAATATGAGAAATATTTGGGGGTGGTGTTTTAATTTTGGGTTATAATTTAAAATCCTATGAACCGACGTATTTATTGTTTCTGACGACCTACAAGCCCAGATTCAGTATTAGATTAGATAAAATGCGTCCAGATAAGGAAGTTAAAATGAAATATAGGGAGATAAGGAAGTTAATACTTTAAAAAATATACATATTCTCACATTGCTTTAATTATTTTTCCTAAGTTCAGTTTTGTCGATCTTGACTCAATATATTTGCACTTTTGTCAACAACTTAAATCATGTATTTCAAATACATCTTTTACTAAGGAATTCTCGACAAAAAATAATATAATTCTTCAGTAATCAAAACTTATATAGTAAGCGCTGACTTTCGCTGGGATCCATTCCTTCAAAAAAAAATCATTTTGTGCTTGTAAGCTCGATTTGCATGATTTATTTTCAAAAGTTGTTGAAATGCACTTTTCTGTTAATTAACGATTTTTTACTCTAGTAGATAATAACTCGTATATGTTAAAATCAGACCAATTTTGAGAACAGGATACACACAAAAATGATTAAATTACCTGATACAAAATAGAATAAGTTCCAAAAAAGCAGGTGATAAGCCATAAAAGGTTTAATGCAGTTTAAGCTGTTTCAATCTCAAGAAGAATGACATAAGAGGCGTACGTATGACATGGGTATTTTATAAACATTACCGTTTTCCGGTTTTGTTTATAATTTGATAAAAATAAAAAGATATTTTTATGAAAAGAACGTTAATGTTGTCAATTGATAATTCGGACAGGGATAAAATGTTCTGCATACGTAATGACCTGTCGATATAAATTTTAAATCTTAATAAGGGATTTTCTTTTAGAGTTTTATCGACTTGTTGTTTTTTGTTTTAGATAAAATATAAATATACGTGGTCGAATCAAAAAGGTATTTATGATTTTACCTGTTGATTTGTCATGTTTTACCTGAAATACTTTCTTTATTATTAAAATTTAAATGATAATTAATAGAATCTAAATTATTCAGAACAGAAGGGGGAAAACTTTGCTATTTGAATCGATGTTATTACAAAATGTAAAATTGAGAAAGTTGCAAACCATAGTATATTTAAATATTTTCATATTTAAAAGCGCAGTAAATTTCATGTAAATAATGGATATCTAGACCATTTTTAAATACTTATGTAATTTACTGCAACCAATTTTTGAATTGTCATTTATGATTTCTTTGCCTTTTCAAATGTTCCCGGAAAAATAAAAATAAAAGAAAACTAAATAGTTCATATCAATTGCATGCATTCAGTAAAATCGACATTTAACTTTATATCAATGTCTTAGGAATGGATTAGATTTAAACAAAACAGCTGAACATCATTAAT